AAGCAGGGTCGAAATCACATGCATCAAGGGCCAGGGGGTTTAGGCGCCTCGCTCCGTTCCCATGGACATCAAAGCTGCAGGAGGCACACCGGTGACCGCCTCGAGCTGCTGCTTCAGCCTGACGAACTATTGCGCGTTTCCGGACGCGGCCAGGAGAGCATTTTGTGTTGCAAGATCCCACATTCAACTTCGATCAGGCCTCAGTCCTCGCATGGCCTCACTCGTTTCATGTACCGACTGGGGTCAGCGGGTCTAGAGTGTTTGGTATTTAGGAAGGGGGTGTGCGTTGGGGTTGACGGAATTGCTATTGAGCACATTGCGTCGTGTTGAAGCGATAGGGCGACTTCAACAAGCCGGAGATGCAACAACCGAGCTGCAGTTTTCAAGTCCTGCACAAGCCTCCCATGCCTCCTCTCTCTCTGTCTCTCTCTCTCTCTCGCTCTCTCTTCCTCCCCTCTCTTTCTGTCTTGCAGACTGTCGGCCGAGGCAAGACAGGCGGCAGACGCGGGGTTAGAGCTGTTATCTCAAGCATCCATTTGCTGAAAGCCCTCAGCCTGCAGCTAGAGTGCGACTACAATGTACTGTAGACATAAGCTTCCTAGGTACACAGCGTCACGAGAACGGGATTGACCCTGAGCTTTGTGCAGCTTGCCAGACCCGCGCCTAGATTTTCACATCAACCCCAGCCGAGGGCTGAACTCATAGACAGTCATCTCTGGGCATGTGGGAAGCGTCGCCTAGACAGGATTTAGCTTTCGGCTCAATTTGAGTATGGATACCGTAAATCGGGGCGAGAAATCTGATTTTCGGCGGTGCTTCATGCTGTGATAGAAATGCTGGCCATGGTTCTATCATTCCACCGTCCTCAACTCAGCATAACACAACCTCGACGGCTGATCTCCATTCGAGTCTGCAAAACGGATTCAGGGGATCTGTGCTGCTCGAGAACTGCCGTTTGGCTTTCGGCTCCGGGCTGTGAGTTTTAGGGCCTAGGCTCCCGATGGCTCCCGGGGAGGGGGTGTGTTATTGGCACCGAACATCTGCTGGAGTCAAGTCCTCAAGTGTGAACCACAAAGTAACAAGACTAAAAGCCTCGATCAAGCCTGAAAAGCTTTTAGAAGATTCGGCTCTGCTTCTTCCTCGTCCGGCTTGGGAGTTAAGATTCAAGCATATGGTTGGAAAGACGGGGATAAGACCCCTCGTTTTAGCTTGCATATCGAAGGGTTTCGGCCTCTTGTGCCCTCAAAGCGCTGCTGTGCTGAAAGCTACCTCAGTCTTCCCGGGTCATGAAGTTGACAACTTGCCCCAGTATTCAGGTCCGTTGATGAACCCCGGGGGTCTGTGTTGTACCGATGCGAAACGAGCTGGCTATGCAACAAAGCTCCCTGAACGAAGCTTGATTTGGCGCTCCCACCACCAAGCCCAGGCCTAGTTTCCGCACCCTATGAGAGGTGCCCCCACTCTTCTGCGACCAAGTGACAATTCCCGGAACAGCCCTGAAGTTCAGCATCCTGAGCTGACGATTCATCGTAGAGGGTACCATGTATGGAGGACTAGACTAAATGAGAGTCCACTGACAATGCTAAGCATAGCGCTACCGAGGGGGCAATTAGCAGTAGCTGGCCTAGAAACACTCCGTGGTCATGACAGTAGCACCAGTAGTCATGGACATTGCAACCGTGAGAGTTGTGTCTTGGCTCCTTCGACTCGACAAGGCAGTTGCCGTCTCGAAGCGTCGCGGCACGGACTACGCAGGCTACGCAGGCGTGGGTATCCTTGTGGAATGCGTTCGTGTATTGTACCACACAGTTTGAGGATGGGGCCGTGGAAAACGGTGGAAGACGAAGGATGTCTTCTTCTTCGCATCAGAAAGGCTCGGCGGGAGGCCGGCGAGAGCCGATGAAACTTGTGGCCTTTCAGATGCGGAAAACGACAACACTTTTCGTGGAAAGGTATGCGACAGTCGTCGTCGGGCCATGCATCGAGAAAGCGAGAGCCCTTCCAGCGGAAACAGTGATTGGGTCCCACCATCGGCGTGTAAGTCAGATTACGAAACTTTTTGCGCGTAGTCAGTCGGTGCAATGGAGGCCCCGCCATCCTCGTGACAGTCGTGTTGACGGTGCCGGCGGCAAGATGCCCGAGGCCGTCAGCCAAATTCAAAGCCAGGCCAGCAGCAGCATCACTATCGTGGAAACAAGATGAGAGACACACATGACCACGATGCTGAGAATGGTGATGTTGAAGCACGACGTGCCGTCTAGGTTTTGAAAGCTGTCAGGTTTCGGGCTTCACAGCTTTACAAGGCCGGGCTTCCGGGACTTGTTTAATTTAAGGCTTACGGTGGGGAATGAACAAACCAGGACCGTGGCACAGGGAGCGGGGTGCACCTCATGAGGGCCTCGAGATATGCACTTTGTAAATGCGCTAGAATGGGACCGTGCCATAATGCACTTTTCGACTTTTAGACCAATGATTCTGGCATCCGTCGTGCCAACGGGCAGCCCAGCACGACGACCATCTTCCGCATCACAGAAGGAAGGATAGCCTCCATGAAAGTCGTATACACCTCGGACTCCAAGCCTCAACTCTTATTGGGGCATGCGAGTCATGGGAGAGCTGAGAACTGTTCTATCTGACATGATGACATGATCACCTTCTGCACTACCTTGCTGGCCAAGCCCTACGGCAAAAAGCATCCTGCTGCAAACCTCATGTTCTCGCATCCAAGGGTCCACCCAGGAACCTGGCAGGAGCAGGCTGCGATATTCCGGCCCATGCTTCGGATTGTCAGAGTTACAGCCACACCACCTTCGTCCCTGGCGCATTCCAAAGCACAAGAATCCAAACGCTGTAAAGAGCTTGAACGACCTTTGCTCCCGAGTGCCTCAAGCAGCAAACTCCTATGTCTCGTGAGAGTATGGCTGTCACTCGTATTCGTATTTGTCGACATCTTCTTGTAAAGACTGTTTGTAGCCCTGTATTGAACAGCTGACAGAGCTGGTTAAGAGTCCCAAGACATCGACTCTGGCTACGTGCCAGTTACGCGTTAGGAGCCGATGGGATGCCTGAGAGTTATCAAGAGGCCGCCAGTCCCACTGCTCCACCTGACCGCATCCCCACCATTCATACGCTCGCAGCAACGAAAACTGCCGGCTTTGTTCTGACCCTGCTGGTGCGTACGGCGACCTGAGCCGGTGCTCTGAGCAGGCGCTGCAACCCAACTCCTGAATCCAATTGTTGGGCCTTGCGAACCTCTGTTCGACCATATCCGCTGCCGGAAGGCCGCACGCATCTGGCCAGCCGTCACTCATGTCGCCTTTGCGCATGGCTTTTGGGGTCCTACCTTAGCTGGGATCTGAAATCGAATTCAACATCTCTTCTAGGCTTTGTCCAGGCTCGTGTGTAGCTTGAGGCAGGTTCGGGTAGCTCCCCGACTCGGTTCCACGCCATGAAACTAATATTGATGCAAAACCGCTGCCTGCTCGTCCCTTGCCGGAGCTTTACTTGGGCTGTGGGCTTCCAGAGTTGCGGGCTTGGCCTGCATGTGCAAGTGTTGGGAGTGTACTCACCATCAGCAGCTGTGCATCGATTCTTTGCAGTGTGGCACATTGCCAGGAGTGACGCGACCAACTACAGCAGGTAGAACCCTGTCCGAAACTCTTGTATTTAAGCTTAGTGGCTGGCTTAGTTTTTCTGAAGGTAACCGGCCCTGCTTCTAATCACCGCGCATGTTCAAGCCGCAGGAAGGTGGGCGGCCAAGCGTCGCCAGCATGTCTGTGTAAGTCGGTATTCCCGACCGAGATGCACGACTACCCGCGGGAACACCTGTTGCATGAGGGCTTGCCAGATCTCACTTGCAACAAGAATCGGCTGCGATAATGCCCAGGCATGCCTGATGCTGAGGCGTCCTCAGATTCCTGCAAAACCCGAGGCAGCCTGAAGCCTACTTCTGTGCAAATGGACATGGTGCTTGTTTTTGCAGCAAGAACTCAAAATGCCGTTGCACCTCCGACTTTCCCCTTTTTTTGCCACGCCTCTGTGTAGGCGTATCCTTGGATGACCGGAGAGCTCGGGCCCACCTTGGGCAGGAGCCAACTCTAAGTTATGCAGTTTGTCTGGCAGCCTCCGGGATTATGTCCAACCTCGCACCGAAATCTTGAGCCCGAAGCGACCGAAGCATGCTCCTCCATGTCTTGCCATAATGAAAGGCTTCTATGCCTTTCCGGGAATGCTGGATGTGTCTAGTTGCCATGACTCCACTCCTTGAAACAACGGCCGTTTTCAACCTGGGAGTACCCGACGGATCCAAGCCAACCTCTGCTCTTGGGTCGTGAGGGGGAAAGAGGGTTGTTGCTACATTTCGGAGGTCCTTGCTTTACGATGCTTTACGGGTCCTACAACTCAGGGTCTCTATCTCCATGTTGGGGTCCCTTTGGAACACCCGAGAAGACTCAAGCCGCCAGCACTTAGCTTGGTGCAGTGACCTTGACGGATGCCAGCTTGCTCTCCGTCTCCGAGAACCACAAGGTCACGAACTTAGAGGTTGAAGCATCTGCGTGGGGCCGTAGGCTTTTGTCAATCTCTGTGTGTGTGTGTGTGGGTCCGTGTTTCTATTGTTTTGGGGTTTTCCTTTCTTCAGGGTGAGGCTGTCGAGTTATGCCTGATGTGCTTGAAGATGTACGGAGGACTATGGTGGTAACTACCACCCATCGGACGTTCAGAAGCCGCCGGTAATATTCACCCACTCTGACGCACGTGTCGTGCAATTTTCCATCCGAGCTAGAACCGCTAGGGCTAGGACAGAAACAAATGCTTCAATGACGTATGCCAGATTCCAACATAGTGCCAAGGTTTTGGGATTTAAAGCCGCAGAGGTTGAAGCTTTGCACGGACAGCCCTCCGGGCTTCGGCCCAAAAGCCTTGGACCCCGTTGTAGCCCGCAGAGCCCAAACCTCTGAAATACAGGACAGGACCAGTGTTGAAAGAGCTGGGTCAGCGGCGCAATCTTCTTCCAGTGCATCGCTGTCGCCCAGATGCCTTCGACGACTCTACCCTTTGAGCGTGGCCGTTTATGGGTCGATAGGGCCGCTTACAAGGGTTTCGATAAGGCCTGGCCATGTGGCCCTTCAAGCCAGCAACAGAAGAACCCCCAGAAGGGTTCCTATCTGCCGCCTGTCAAGCGATGCGGCTGCTTGCCAGCCGTTGCCGAAAGACCGAAAGCCCAACCTAAACCTGGCACCCCTAAAGGCCCAAAGCCCTAAACCTACTGGACCTACAAGGCAGGCCCAGTCGCCGCCCCAATGAGGTGATCACGAAGGTTGACTGCGCAAGGAAGCGGATGCCAATCTCGCCCTCCCAGTCCTGCAATCTCTACAACGGGCTCAAGACATTCCTTGCCGAAAACTCTCGAGCTCCGAAACCGTGTGCTAATACCAGGCTCGACACCCGGAAACCGGAAGCCCCTAGTTGCTCCCTCCAAATCTTGGGTCCCTGAACGTCAAAACACCAACGCCCTACTTTCGGAGCCCTTCTAATTCTTGAGCTCTCAAAACAGGTCACACCAAGCTATCACGGCCACTGGTACCAAGGCCCCGGCCCGCCGAAGCTCCCCGAAGAGGCCTTTGAAGAAGGGCTCCGCAGCGTCGTCGCCCACCTCTTTGGAGGCAGGTGGGGCTTCGGACTTATGGGTTTGAGGGTTTAGACTCTCAAAACTGGGACAATCCAGGCGAGTTTCATAGACAGCAGTCGGCGTTAGGGTTCTTGAGTTGGAGTTGTGCACATCTTGCGCCAGCTTCGGCAGCTCGGCCCTACGGTCCCGAGTGAGCGTGTGCACGTGCTTGTGGCTGCTCGTGCTATTCGGTTTGTTGTGTCGCTTCGTTTCTTCGGGACTTCCGGCTGTGAGAGTTCAGATTTCGCATTCGAGGTTAGGAAGCTGTAAACAGAGACGCCCGGTCCGGTCAACTTAACAGCTTCGGCGATTAATTGACTTAAGTGCCTCCGCGCCCGCGAGTAAACTAAACGTCTAGTCAGTCCTCAAGCTCAAAGATAGCTTGAACCCCGAGAACACAATACACTTGGCATCGTTTCAGTATTCTACCGCTCCTCGTTTCGGGTTGTGATTGCTTTTGCTGTTGTTGCTGTTGCTGTTGCTGTTGCTGGTGCTGGTGCTGGGGCTGGTG